GGGTCTCTACTTAAGAACGTCTCTACTTAAGAACAATCCAACTTAAGAACAGCTCCATTTGCTACATTTTGCTTCTACTTGAGAACAGAAATCCAAGATAAGAACAGGAAAAAAAACCTTTCCTGCTCTTTTTTTAACCTTAGGTCATCTTAGGTTAACAAAATTCTCCCCCTAGTGGTAGAGTGCGTATTAACCAGCTTCAATGTACGAACACACCTCTACATAACAACAACAACAACAACAACAACAAAAAACAGCCAGAACGGATTAATTGGTTTTCAGTCCATTCCTATGGGAAATTTTGCTTCAACTTAAGAACGTTTCAACTTCAGAACACCATTCCAAAATGGATTAAGTTCTGAAGTAGAGGTTCCACTGTAGTTTCTATGGACGGAAAAGAGCAGATACGGATTAAATGGTTTTCAATGCATTCCTATGGGAAATGCAGATTCAATATAAGAACTTTTCAACTTGAGAACCACCTTCCAATACGGATTAAGTTCTTAAGTAGAGACCCCACTGTACTGCAGTTTCAAAATTTTGTTTCGTAATGTGACTTCAGAGAAATCATTTTAGAATGTTTATATAATTTTAGTTCATATTTAAAACAATAACAAAAAAGTTACGTAATTTGTTAGCATTAAGAGTTTACTTGAAGTTTGTATCTTGGTGTAATTTTTGGTGCAGTTGCAAAACATTGCTCCAGCTAATGTTGAAAGAAGCTGATATTAAGTCTTTGACAAATATATTTACAGTTGAGACTTGTGTAGTAGTGGAACATTTCATTCAGACTTGCATTAATGCAACAGGACATATTTTAACGTTATATTTGAATGGTGGTCAGGGAAAGTTGGAGAAATGAAAAATAAAATATCAATGGCAACCCTGTTTTAATGCTGAGTGGGCAGGATGGCTCTTATCTCTGAATGATGACTAAAGTGAAGGCATAGGATATTCCTACTATAATGCTACAGAAGGACCAAGCAGAAAAACTGATGACAGCAGAAAAGGACACAATCCTGACCTTGGGAGGTGTCAAAAGAGGCAGCCTCCACCTCAACTGAAATAGTTCTTATCTTGAATTTTAGTCCAGTTAAGATGTGTAATTTTTCCCCACATCTTCATTAGGGAAGATATGTATTCTCAGGATTCCATAGATCTTCTTGCAAGCTCTGGATTGCAGTTTCAGAAGCACGAGGAGGAAGGAATTGATACTCTACATTTTGCAGAACTACTTATGACCTCTGGTGTAGTGCTCTGTGACAATGTCAAGTGGCTTTCATTCCACAGGTTGGTTGAATATTCTGTCACTTTTAAGTACGCTGTTGTATTCATGTGCATAACACTTTGCTATAGATTATTTAAAAAAGCATTATTACAGTAATTTTGCTAACTTCTGATTTCTGCCGGAGTTCCTTTGCATTTAACAATATGTTGTAACAAATGGAAATTTAGCCAGAGAAATTATCACTGTATCTAGAGGCCATCAGAAAATCCATTCCTGAACATGTGATTATGAAGCAATTCCTAGCTTTAGGAGCCCTGCAAGGAGGAAAAAACTACCCAAAATGAACTAGGTAAAGGAGTAGAAAACTGAGGTTGTATTTATATAAATCAGAAAAATATATATTGCTTTAGTTCTCATCTGGCCTATAAATGGTAGCTGTATGAATTATTTTGATTTACGTAATTAAAAGGTCTCCAGCTGCTTACTGATCAGAGGAAGTATTTGAAGCCCAACTCCAAGTGGTTTTCCATTTTCCATTTAATAAAAATGATTTTTTTCTCCCATTTTTTTCACACATTTCATTAGCAGTAGAGCATTTTGCTTGCACTTTTTATTATAGTAAACTATTTTTTGTTTCTTTGGTCTTTATCCACAAACTAACTGGGATGACTTCCCATTGAAGCAGTTCATCTATCATTTGAGACTGAAAATCTGTTTAAAATTGTATGTGGGGGGGGGCAATAAATGGAATCACCATTAACCTGCCTTTGTCCCATTTCTCCACCAGTGGGTATGACTTTGGTTATATGGTGAAATTGCTGACAGATTCAAGGCTTCCAGAAGAAGAGCACGAGTTCTTCCATATCTTGAATCTTTTCTTTCCATCTATATATGATGTTAAATACCTAATGAAGAGCTGCAAAAACCTGAAGGTACAATATATAATTTTAACCTTGTCATTGCTGCACAAAGTGTGTGTGAGGTCAGTTACCTTCGTGTCAGAATGTGTTTGACTCCTCTTATTTGACTGAGGTCACACATTCTCAGGATAAGTGCCACTGTGTGTCCGTTTTTTGCACTGCGATACTAATGGCGAAAGTATATGTGCACCTGAACTCTATCTCGAATCAGGGTGATAAGCTTAAATTTCACGCTAGAAGTTTCTGAAGCTTGTTGACAATGGAATAGTAATCTCTTTTGGGACTGGTCTTTGCACTTCATCTTTCACTCTAGTTAGGTGAAAGAACTGCACAGTATTGCTGGAAAACTAAAATTCTATGCCAATGCTTATTGTTTTGCTATGGAACGAACATAGGCAAACTATTGCTTATGTACAAGAATCCTGTGGCTAACACATTTGAAAATTTGTAAACATGAATTTGATGATTTGAAAAAATCCAGTAATGCTCTGATCTCTATCATTCTTACTTTTATTTTATTGTAGGGAGGCCTTCAGGAAGTTGCTGACCAGCTAGATTTGCAGCGGATTGGACGGCAGCATCAAGCTGGGTCTGACTCCCTACTCACAGGGATGGCATTCTTCAGAATGAAAGAGGTATATTGATCAGTTTAATTTTCAGTATATGCCAGAAGGTATATTGGATCAAAGATGCAACCAGCAGCATAATATGTTTTCTTTTTTGCAGTTATTCTTTGAAGATACAATTGATGATGCGAAGTACTGTGGGAGACTGTACGGTCTTGGTACAGGAGTAGCTCAGAAACAGAATGAAGATGTAGAAACAGCACAAGAGAAAATGAGTATTTTGGCAATTATCAACAACATGCAGCAGTGACGCCTAGGTGCCATTCAATATGAAATGGGTCCATGGAGGTTAGCTACCTCCTTAAATGCATTACAACCACATGACAGAAAAACTGGGGTTTTTTTTGCAGAAGGCAAAAGGCATCTTTACTTTGAATCTTAGAAGATTCTAATCAAGTAATGATCAGTAAGAGTATTTTGCCCCTATGTAAAAAACAGATACAAACTATAATGTATATACCTCCTTTTTCTTTTAAACCTTACTGAATATCCAAGAAGTAATCATTTCAGAGCTTTTAGCAGGGACAAGGTTCTCTCATGCACTTGCAGATCTAGCTTTTGAAAAAAGATTTTAAAACTTCTTTTGCTCTCTGTGAGGGTGATTTGTTCCTAAGCCCTCTGCTAGTTTTATCTTTTGTGTAAGTCCGTCTGCAAAGTGATCCACTCAGCCCTGGTGGTGGAGACAATGCATGAACTCCTTAGATCTGACATAGTAGCAGCCATAATGATGGTCTTGACTAGTACTAGGGCTAGCTTCTCCTTTTAGATTGCTGGGCCATGTATCTTATCAGTTTCATCTTAACTACTGTAGAACTGGAATAAAGCTGTCTGCATGCTTGAGACTGCAATAATAATTTAGATCAAATATTGTTTCACTTTTAGTGAAATAATTTACCCTTTTGTTAACAGGATGTCTAATAAGTGTATAAAATGAGAAGTGTTACCTGCTACTGAAGGGCTAAGTAAAGCTTTTAGATTTCTCTTTTATACTACTTCCAAAAGAAGCCTCCACTTGTTAAATGGATACAGGCAGAAAATACATTTAATAGTTTTGCAAGTCTCGTAACATCCCTAAAAACCAAAAACTTGAGAGACAAAATCCAGACAGTTGGTATTTTAATAAGTTTAAACTGTCCATTATGTAAAGTATTGCAAGCTGCTGTTAATTGCTTGTGTATATAATTGGTTCTTAATTTTGTAAAATAAAGAATTTTCTTAAGGCATGAGACTGACTTTGAAACTTCTCAAAGGGTATTTACAAATTGTTTTTCATCTAAAGAACTGAGAAGAAAAATGGCTACTAGTTCTGTTTTACAAAGTAAAACAGTGTCCATGGTGGCATTTTAAGTAGGACTTGTGCATCTACCTGTGAAACTTCTTTTACAAAGATGACTTGCCCTTTGTCACACTGAGATAGATACATAAGATACTGCTTCTGTACGTAACAGGGCACCTTTGTATCCAAGGGGTATAACAAGAGAATGACTATGGGCCTATTTCTCATATCTTTTTTCTTCAAGGCTCTTTAGACCCAAACAGCACAGAACATGTACATTTTAAAATGGCATAAAGCAGAAAAGCATAACCAGTCAAGAGAATGTAAAATTCAACTCCCAACCTCTGGTTCCACAGCCATAGACCTAAACCACAGAGCTATCTGGTATGTAAGTTAATATAAAACTAAAAGAACTGTAAAATCAAATCAGATTGGGGGAATTCTGATAATAATTTTCTTCCGTTCATCTGAAGCTAGGAAAAGGAATCTGGCCACTTTATCTGTAATTGATTTATTTACATTTGCCAAAGGATATGTCAGACTCCAGTTGAAGATTTTACCCAGGTATTGCAAGAGGAGAAGGATTATCAGTCTAGTCTGGTCAGTTCTATAGCAATTACAAACCAAAAGGTTATGAACCAATGAGGGTTCCTTCACAACGGCAGAACCTTCAACTACTGTAGACAGAATGCCAGAGAGGTGGTCCTCCAAAACTGTTGGTAAGCAGATGAACCTTGCTCTGGAAAGGACCAAACAATAACTGGGGACAGTTCTCAAGATACTTAGCATGGCCTTTCACTTCAGTAAATCTTTCCGGTTCTTTCCTTTTGGTTTTTCCATTCAGGTTTCTGGTGGTAGAGCAAAGGCAGGGACAAGGCAACAAACAATCTACTCCAAAAGTGGGCAACAACATTTCATGGGAAAAGGCAGGGCTATGCAGATACTTAACAGTACATGAAAGTTCACATTTATCACATCAGCTTCCTCATCGATTTATCAGTAGGAAACAGTACAGATGAGAAAAAGAAATCATTATGACAATCAACTCCCCTTCCTTCCTTAACACTAAGGGTATTAGAATCAAGCACCCCTGAAAGCCCCAAGATAGAACATGGAGAATTGGAGAGGCATCTCTTCCCCACTACCACTTCAGTCCAAAACTGCAGATGAAAAACATTTCTGACAGCAATAAAGGAAAGAAGAGGATCTCCCTCCAAAAAATCAATTAAAAAAGCCGACTGGAAAAGCAAGGAATTTAAGTAATGCAAATGCAGAAGAACCACAGCGAGATGCTGAACTCTCTCAGCAACAGCAAACAAGTTACTAAGCAGTTAGAGAGCAGCCACTTAGTTTCCAGGCCCTTTTAAAGATTCAAATCCCCCTCCACAACTTTCCAAGATGTTACTGACATTGTAACTGGCAGCTGACAGTTCACCTTGTGAGAGCTGCAAAGTTAATTGCTGAATTATCAATGCATAATCACATTGCATACAATGCTGTAAGCCGCCCAGAGACCTTCGGGTAGTGTAGGCGGCATATAAGTTAAATAAATAAATAAATGATAAGATGGAAGTACTGTGAAACAGGAAATATGAGATTCCAGTACCCTCTCTTTGGAACCCTGAAACTATCAGATTTCAGAGAGACTGTCAAAAAAGAATCCAAAACCTAGAAAAGTGCCTCTTTCATCCTCCGCCCCCCAAATTCAGCTGAACTTCAAAGTCTCATATCTGCTCAAGATCATGCACTAACTTCAGTCAACAATATTCCTGCTGCAATATTGCAATAGAAGCCCAGTTGGGCACACCACAAAAATAAAAAGAAAAAACCTGTTCAGTGATTAGAACTCCATATGGCAGCTAGGCCAGAGCTTTAGCTCCGAATACTAACAGAGCAATAGTTACAAATTGCCCTGCATTAGTATTGATGCAACAGCCTATGGTTTTAGCACTACAAGAGGGCCCCGTATCCACTGGGGATTGGTTCCAAGCCACCCTGTGGATACTAAAAATTGTAGATAATGAACTAGAGAGAGGGAGGGAGCATGGTAAAAAGGAAAAAAAAATAGAATTTTCACATAATTACCAGAAGAGGGCACTAGAGGGTGCCAGAGACCATGCTATGTATTCTTCACTAACAAGTGTTCAAAGGACAGTGTCTTGCTTCCTCTAGCCATCAGTTCTGGTAATGTGAAAATATTTTTTTTCTGGACTTTTTCTTTTAATATATTTAGACCGTGGATAAGGGAGTCCTACTGTATTTAGTGCTGATTGTACTGCTGAAGATTTTTGAGGTGCCCATGGAAAGTTAACACCTGAATATTTGAACCTTCTAATTACCCATTTACTCAGGTAGATGATTAGCAAATACTGTACCATAAACTTTGTTTTGTTAAAATTATCAGTAATTTTTTATTACAGTACTCCATTAGAGCCAAATAAGGGTCAGGACAACCTTAGTAAATCACAAAAGAACTGCAACACCTCTCCTAAATTTCCTGTTATACTGAATGGTGACTTGGTTTTGACTGGTTAAAACAAAAACAGTTCACCTCACAGGAGAATGCTGGACACATTTTGCCTCCTCCTTTCACAGATGGGGAGGAAAGTACTAAATATAAGGCTCGTGCAGTGCCATTTGTGTTATGACAAATCAACTCTGTTGATGTGGGCCATTACTGTACTGCAAGATTTTCACAGGAATGAGTTTTCATGAAGTAACAAAAATGTCTACAGTGGCTGTTCAACATCCACTCTTAATTTGTTGCAGGCCTTTGTAAAACCAATGATTAATACATTTCACTTTTACAATATACATTTTATTGATCACTGACAACTCCCCACTTCTCAAAGGGTGGGATGGGTGGCCACTACATTTTAATCTACATAAAAGAAGAATTTCCCCATATACTTTTTCTTCAACAGAGGAAAGATAGCACTGAAAAACATCTCTTATCTTGTTTTCAGTGACGATTTTCCAATACTCAATCTAAATAACTGACCACCCTGACTGTATAACAGTAGCTTCCTGCTCATCCATCTAGAATGAAACATACTTCAAATTAAGCAGTCTTTCACATGAAGTGAAAAAAACCCACTGGAGATTCATGTGAAGAATTTCTTGCAAGCATCTCTGCATATATGTGTTCCTCCATATTTCTTAAGCAGGTCTAATGCTTGCTGCTGCAATTCTGGAATCACGACTACAGAGCACTGGCCACTCATAAGAATCACAATAAGGCAACATTCCAACACATCAGGGAAACGGGATGCCTGTGGAGAAATGAATATTTTTTGTGAAGCAGAATAAGCCATTGTTAATTCTGAGGACAAGAATAAATGAAATTAGGGACTACTGCTCTGTAATTTTGATTTTGATAAGATCAACTGACCTTTTTGGTGACCAAGCTGCCAAACAGAGGTGGAAAGCCTGCTCATGAGCCACATCTGCTGGATGGGTTTCAAACCTACCGTATTTTTTGCTCCATAAGACGTACTCCCCCCAAAAAAAAATAGTGGAGGAGAAAGTATGTGCATCTTATGGAACAAATACAGTAAAAAAGGGGTTCAGCCACCACCACCCAGAAGCCCCCCACTGCCATGCTGGGAGGCCTCTGAACTACCACCAGAGACTGGTTGCTGTTTGTATCTCACCATTCTGCACTGCTGGCTTTCCAGGATCTGCTTCCTGGAGCCCACCTGGAAAACCAACAAGGCCAACAGGCCTATGGCAGCAGGCAGTGAAAAAAGCCAAGGACCAAAGGGGAAAGAGTAATTCTAGAAAAACCAGGGGAAACCACAAACACAGTCCCCCCACTTAGGCAGTTGATTTCCCCATATTTGGGGAAATCACAGGGTTCAACACATCCGAAGTGCAATAGATGAGCCTCACCCTGGGAAAACCATTTTGATGATCATGGTATCTCCCCTGCGGTGACCCCCCGGCTGCACCTCCTGATCAGAACATGGCTGCACAGCCCTAGTCCTGAAAGAGGCTGAGAGACCTACTCAGTGTTTGAGGTGCCCCACAGGACCCCCATCAGGAGCTGGAATATTCCTCCCACAATCCTCCAGGGCACAGATATTAGCATACCTAATATGCGGGGAAGGCAGGGAAAGCGGGGAAATTCAAACTTTCAGTTACTGAAGAGGCTGCTTGTCTGCTTCCTTGCTAGTCCAAGCAGTTAGAGAGCTGGGAAAGAGACCTGGGACTGCCTGGTATTGTCGTTTTAAAATGTAATATTTAGTTTAAAAGCTGTTTGGGGTTAGTGCTTGGCTGAAAGGTGCTCTGTTTGAGTTGAAACCTGCTTGTGTAGAAACGTGCATACTTGCTTTAAAAGCTGCCTAGGAAGTGTTCAGACCAGCGCCGATCAGCTGTTAGGTGGGGAGAGGGGAGGGGAAAGGAGCAGGAGCAGAGAAGAGCACAAAATGGCTGCCGGCTGCCTGCAAAAAAATACGGTATCTGCTCAAAGGTTTTCTGCATGAGATACACTTACTCTCTCTTCTATAAAGGAGTACAACCTCAAGTTGGAAAAATGTTATTTTAAAATAATTTAACTTAAGTCACTTTCTAAACTTAAGATTGTGCTCCCTTAAGGAGAGTGAGTGCACTGCTCACTACAAGCCAACTGTCTGACCAATGCAAAATCAATGGAGGTCAACAGCAGGTGTTAATGGGAACGTGTACTCCCTGCAATTACCCTTCTTGTTCTCACACCAAAAGATACCATGCCTCAGCAATCAGACTTGCAACTAAGCCTGTTTACTCCATAATGACCAATCAGAAAGCAAATCTTTTGACATGTATGACAAACATGTTTAACTGGGAAAGTACCTCTGAAAAATGTGATAAAATTAATCTCTTCTGCATCAAGTAATCCACAGGCTCCTACTCCTCAGACTGACCTCAAGCTAAGAAGCTGCATTTGAAACATAATTATTCTGAACAGTTTTAAATCTTACCGTTATACTCTCAGGGAACTCTGCTAGTTTTTTATTTGCTTCTGAGAGTTGCTTTGTCAGTTCTGGCAGAGAGATTTGTTCATTTACTTGTTCTTCACTGTAAAAAAGAAATTTCCAAAGATACATTAAAACAAATATTCCATGTCTTCAACTTGGCAATTAACTATTCAAGAGAGGGTGAAAATAAGTTATATTCAGAACAAAGCGCCGTCATAAGGTACACCGTAAGTTAAACATGTTTGTGTCAGTATGCGTTTTGAAAAGGAAGTATCTGTAATTATTAACGTGTAATTTAACTAAAGAAGCAATTCAGACAACAAGAAAAAGGAAAAAAAAAAAGGAAAAAAGAGAGATACATTTGAAGCCAGAAATTTCGATCGCCTGCATTTTTAAAGGGATTTCTAGCAGCATTAATTTTTAAGGACAACTGCCACAGTATTACGAATAGCAACAAAAGAGCTTGGGTTCATGGTTAGTGAGCATTAACTTCCATACAGCAGACAAGGGTAGACTGCAGAGAGGTAGGTTCAAATACCACAAATAAGCATGACTCACTCACTAGGTGACCATTTTCTAGTTACTTTCACAGCCCTTGACCATGTCCACACATGAAATTAAAATATAGACCAATCTTGGCTGGAGCTGGGCTATTTTGATTTCTTCCCACTGCTTCCAAAATTAAGGAAATTGTGGTGGTTGTAGGTTTTTCGGGCTGTTTGCCCATGTTCTGGTTTTAATTCCTAACGTTTTACCAGTCTCAGTGGCTGGCATCTTCAGAGGACAGAACTCTTAAATCTGGATAATCGAAATCTCCCATCCCTACTACATCATGTCTCTTTGAAAACCCTGCAATTTGTTTTTCAAAACAAATAAATATTAAGTTTACTTGTAAATAATGGCCAAAATCCTGTTGCTTAGGAAATCACTCTATATTAGGCCTATTTAATCAATGTGGATTTGGTGAGTCACTTCCTCTCTAAGTTCTATGGATTCAAATAGGCCTACTATAACTGGGAATTACTTTAGCATAGTAAGACACAGTTGGAGTAGGCCCATTTAAATCAATGGAACATATGGAGAGGCAAGTTACCACATCCCCACTGATTCAATGGGCCTACTCTAGTGTGATTTACTATGCTAAGCAACAGGATTTTGGCCATTGTATAATGTATTTACTCCATTAGTTATGTAGTACAAGCAGTTTCAATGGGAAATTCCATTTAAATCACTGAGCTGAACAGACCTTTCTCTTAACAATTCCAATTGTATTAATTTAAAAGCAATTCACCGATTCCTACCCTATGGGAGGCCCAATATAGTACATACTTTCAATTTATTTTACTTAGTCCATTCTTCAGAGTGCAAACTACAATTTTCTTGTCTATAAATAAAATTAGAGCACCCAAAGAAACTTTCCACGGCCAAGGCTCCAAAATGCAGGAGCAATGTAAGAAAATGTCTATTGTTTAAAACAAACAAACAACAACATAGCCAGTCCCACACTGGCTTGATGCCAAACTCACTGTAGCTTACAGATGCTATAGCTGTTATGGGAAATTTTTAAATTTTTCTGGAATATCAAGTATTTCTGTTTCACTACCCCAAATTAAAGTCAGAAATTTGACCTAGCTGCATTGGATGCAGCTAGGTCAAAGTTACCTCTGAACTTTACGAAGATGAATGAAATGTACATACGCCTGTCACCACCTGCACACAAGACTTCGTAAGTCTTACCTCTGTTTCTGGCTTGCTGGAGAATCAGCCTCCAAATCCTGCCTGCTGGTGGCATTTTGGTGGAAACTGTTTTTCTGATGCTGGCGGATCATTTCAGCCAAACTCTGTTGAACAGCAGAGATATCCCGCTGTATACTCTGGACTGCAGCATGTTCTTCTGACAGTAGCACTTGACAGTCCTTCAGTTTCACTCGTCTTTCTACTAATAAGCTTGAGTGGGCTGGTGACTCCCTGCCTGAGAGAGTGCCATTTGAATCGCCCTTGAAAGGGGTGTCTTCAGCCTTAGCTTCAGCCTCAGCTGCCATTTCTTCATCCAAAAAGGCTTCTCTCGTATTGCTTTGGTCAAGAGTGGGCTGCTTGGCGGGCCCCTGTTGCTCCGAAGCAAGAGAAGCCACAGGCATGTTCCACCACAGATTATATAGCTGCCCATAAGCCACAAATGCCTCCAAACTCTGGAAGGCTGCCATACTCTTTAAGTTTGCCTTGTCCAGTTTATCTCTCAGATGACTGCAGCCTGTCAAGAAAACATACAATGTTGGAAACATTGTGCACACCAGTGCCCCTCTCAAATCAACATTCTGCATCCAGAAAGCTGTCACAGAGAAGTAAATCCTTGCAGAGAGTTGCCTAGTTATGGATTACTTTGCCTCACTGGAGACTGAAAAACCGCCTCATCCCAAGGTTTTGGTTTTACTGGATCTTTATTCTCCTGATTTTCACTCCACCTGCAACAGGAAATGAATTCTGTTCTAACAGTTCACGAGATGACGAGCAAAACAGGTCAAATTACTGTGAATTGATTTTAAGTGGAAGAGCAGCCAGAACAATGAATGAAAATGCTAGTATGTGAAATGCAGCCTTTTGCCTCTGGAGCCACTGCATGGGGTCTACCCCTCTGACTGTTCCAGTATTTATACTATGTGCCTTTTGGGAGGGATACTGAAAAATGAAAGTAGCATTAGTAGCACAGCTAAGCTTTGCGGAAGGAAACTCCATCTTTGAACGTTCTTCTCATTCCTTAATATGTGTATGCCTCAGAAATAAAACAGACTCAAACATTCACCCGTGCACCTGATCAATCGGATAAAACTACTTCCTTAAATGACATCAAGCACATGGAAGAGAGATGCAATCCTAGTTATCCTTATCAGGGAGTAAGCCTCACTGAACCAAGGCCGATCAGGCTTCCAAGTAAATATTTACATGATTGTACTTTGGAGTTTTCAAAGCTCACTCAGACCTAAGCAAACAAGAAACCGTGAGATGACCCAATCAGTCCCCAGTGGTATTTTTGGCACACCATCACAACCAATTTGGTTGCTTTGGTAATGCAGCTCATAGAAACAATGAAGGAAATATTCCATTATGAAGCCTGATTTTCAAACAGACATGACTTCCAGGAAATGAGAGAAAGCCATTCAAAATTAAAGAAAATGGAAAAGGAAACAAACCTTCATAACTCTGAGGTATAGCTTATGTGGTTCTTTTCGTTTTTAGTAAGAACCTTAGCACTGGACATTGTGTCTGTGTGTGCTGTTTTAAGGTGTCTGTATAGAACAAGACAGTTCCTTTTTAATTGGTTAAATAACCCACAGATTTGATGCTGCCTTCCAGAAAAGCAAGCAATTTTGGCATTGAAAACTAGCTGTTTGTTCAACCCTTTAGTGGTTTAATAAAGGTATTGGCTGCTCTTGAATTTGTATTGTGTAAGGACCACACAGGTTTTTCTATTTTTTATTGAACTACCAGAAGAAAGCATCTCTACTGTCATACACAGACTGTAGGAAGATGCCCTCTACTGCCACCTGGTGGCCTGGAAGAATAACATCTTCAATCCACTGGGTGTTCTGTTCTCAGAGGGATAGCTGAGAGAGACACTGGAAAATCACCACATATATGTTCTACCAATGACAGTGTAAACCAGCCCTTACCCCAGTAACAGAATAAGTAGAGCAGTTTTGTCCTAATTCATGGCATTTCTCTGATAAAACCACCAGTGTCAAAAACAAGGATGGAATGAGTTGAAAATGAAGAAAAAATAGGAGGGCAGGAGAAAAGAAACAATCAAAAAAAAAAAAAAAAGACAGGAGGAAAGATCAAGTAATTAGGAAAAAAGAAAAAGATAAGGAGCTAATAGAACATGAATGAAGAATGGGAAAATAGTGGGCATTAGTAGGTTTGCCCTCTTTTTCTTTGAGGAGTGAAAGAGAAATTAAGGTCTTATTTCAAAGGCTGAGAAGAAGCAACTTCCATCTGGCAAATAAAAAGAAAATTAAATCAGTATTTTCTCTGCCCCTTGGCCTAAGAGAGGAGCAAAGTCCATTCTTGAAGCCCTCTTACACCATCTGGACAAACAACCAAACCTTTTTCCACCTCTGAGTCTTGCATATGAAGGAGGGAGGGGAGAGACGAGGAGCCTGTTTTTGTAGCAATAGTCAGGTTGTTACAAAAGTTATCCAATATCTGACATGGAAAGAGAAGTAAAGAAGCTGTGCTAATAGATGATTATGGTAGGGTCTAGGGACCAGGGAGAAGAGTTACTTAGCAACGTTAGGCAGGGGTCTGAAGGTCTTTTAATGAGGTAAGCCATCTTTGTAAATTTGTTGTTTTCAGCTTAAATATTGTCTTTCAATATGTAAGCTGCCTTGGGTCCTTTTTAAGGAGAAAGGCAGGGCAAAAAGTAAGTAAGTAAGTGCGAGTGAGTTGGATTATCTCCAGCCTTTGGTCTATTTCCAGATTCTAGACTGAAGAGGGATGCAATGAGGGTTTACCTGCAGGAAGGAAGAGGCTGCAGATTTCTTGCATAAGGCTAAAGTTTCCAGCATCATAGCTCCTGGTCACAGCTCCAAGAAGAGCTTTCACTGCCTCCTCCCAGCATGGCATCTCAAGACTCAGAAGTGCCAGGGACAGATCATGAGAAATATGGAACAGCAGCTAGAAAAAACAAAGAAAAGCCATGAAAACACAGGTGGTTTTCTGAAGCTCAAACATCACTGGAAAATACAACAATTATAACACAAACATGCACGGCTTATAAACTGCCCTGTGTCCCAGTTTTGGAGAGAAAAGTGGGATATAAAAGAAGTAAATAAACAATCCACAGCTAGTCTTGAGGACTTGTAGCTAGTGGTCCATTGTCTACACCAGTGGTTCTTAAACTTGGGTTACTCAGGTGTTTTTGAACTGCAACTCCCAGAAATCCCAGCCAGCACAGCTGGTGGTGAAGGCTTCTGGGAGTTGCAGTCCAAAAACACTTGAGTAACCCAAGATTAAGAACCACTGGTCTACACTGTCCTTTTCAACTATGGTGGTAATAATTATACTATCGATACCACATTGGCCTCACTAGGTCCATATCTCCCCATACTGGCAACCCACAGAGCTCATAAGAACAAATTTACCTGTCTGGGATGAGTGTTGCTAGTTGCAGGAGGATACTCAATGGTTCTCAGCTGTTCAAATGCTTTCTGCAGTTCAGCCACAGTATTCACACCAAATATGCTCTTCCATACACTGAGTACTGTTTCCATGAAAGAGCCGTCTTGCTTCACTGGCCAAGTATTATAGCAAGGTATGGACAGGTTCCGGCTTTCCACCAGATTCCTTTCGTTAAGGCACTTGTGAAGTAATTCATTAAGGCAGCACACTAATCTTTGCCCCTATAAATGAAAGACATATGAGTCAATAATTCAGTAATAACTGAGTTTTAAGAAAAAGGGGAAAAACCCAACCGAGATTGGTGATGTATTTTTCCTGTAAATACACTTCCATTCAAAGCATTTGTACAGTTGAACGGGTAGATGTAAAATTACAAAAGCAAATTAACAGCTCAAATTAACTGATCTTTCCAATCGGTTTAATGAAGAAGAATACAAGATGGCCGGGATATTCTGGAAGCTGAAGTCCACAGAAGCAGACTTCTCTGTCTCTGTATCTTGTTAACACTTTATTTTTAACAGTCACAATGTAAACTACATTTTTTGATATTTTACAAAAATATATCAATTAAAATTTTATCTTTCCTGAGCAGGAATGGTCAGTTGGGCCTAGGAATCCCAATAAGTCTTCAGAGAAGTAAACAGTATTTCCCTCTAAACAAATATGCTTAGGATAATGCAAGTAATATATCATGGAACAGTGTAATATATGATCAGCAAATACATTTGTCTATCCACCTATACCAGTGGTGATTCTTGGACTACAACTCCCAGAAATCCTGCCCAGCACAGCTAGTGGTGAAACTTTTGGTAGTTTTAGTCCAAGAACATCTGGGGACCCAAAGCTGGGAGTCACTGGTCTATACACATAATCCCTAAAGGAAGTCCCAGCTTAAGTTTCCAAGAGCTGAGCAGGACAGTTTGGAGATTGCTCATTCATAGGGTTGCCTTAAGTCAAGGGCAACGTTTGGAGATTGCTCATTCAAAGGGTTGCCTTAAGTTAGGGGCAACTTGATGGCATGTAACAACAACAAATGTACACATACTGACCAACAAATCCTCCTGCTGCTGAAGGACCTCCTGTGCCCCCACCCAGTTCTTGGAAGACAGGAGTTCCTGGGCACATCTGAAGGAGAATGTCATTGCAAGGTCTTTCTCTCCAGCTATCAAAGCCAGTTCAGCAGCAGCTTTCAGAGAGGTGGTATCTCCTTTTTTAGAAAGCACTTTGGCGGCATCATAGGAAGAGGCAGCTCCCAAGTAACTTTTTGAAAAGAAGAAAAGAAAAGAAAAAGAACCATCAATAAAGCATTACTTTGATTGAAGAAAACTCTCAATTCACCAGCAGACATAGTTTGCTCATACAAGACTTTTGGGTATCTTAAGTCCCATTCACTTATTCTGTTGCAAGTACTAGCTTTTTACAGGAAGGCAACTTCTGCAGGCATTGTCTAAAACAAGACGAGGTCATTAAATTGCTGCTGAACTTTCTCCAATTCAAGTATTCCTATTCAGTCACTACATGCATGTGTATGCTCAGCACATGAAGAGAGGGAATGTCAAGAAGAAATCTAAGATCATATATATGCCAGACTTGGGTGAACATCATTGTGACGGACAGGCCAGAAACCACACCTGTCCATCACAATGGAACACTGATTCAGTAGCCAATGGTTGTGCAGGAGGGCGGAACCAAGGAATATAAGAAGAGAATGGAGGACAGTTATAATCAGTTAGAGTTTCGGTTGGAGAGGAGTTAGGGGTTTCAGTTAGTGATGATATAGGACAGTTAGTTAGGAGTTAGGAAAAGAGTTAGGTAGTTGGAAGAATTGTTTTGGAAAGAAACCCTTGGAAAGAAACGTATAAGAGAACTAAATGCAATGAAAACTATAAGAAATAAATACAGTAAATTGTTTTAAAGTGATTTAAACTAAATACAAAGTAACCAGCATATTTCCAAGTTAAATGAAGTTTAATGAATACCAAATACAATACCATCTATAATTTCCTTGAGTCTTAAGTATGTTAATCTGTTAATAAACGTTATATTTGACCTGACTGATTCTGTGGTTCTAACTGGTAATTGAGGAAGGATTTCCTCTGGTGGCTGCGGAAGTGGAGACAAGAGAAATTGTCACGCCCGAAGGCAAATCTGTTTGTTAGGGAGAACATACAGAGGAGTTGGGTGTGTGTGTATGTGTCAATCATTCAACAGTATTAGTGAAACACCACTGTCTATCTAAAACTGGTGGCAAATTACAAAGATCAGACACGTCTTGTCTGTTTAAAACGAACTGGTGAACAACCATGTCCCCAACATGGATAGCACAGTTTTTCAAATTTCTATTGCATTCCGTGCCATTCATTGATTTTCTCCACTGTCTTACATTGCGACACAAAAGTGAGGCTTGCCCAGGGTAACCAAATTCTTCTGGGAATTCTGACTCTTAGATTTACAAAGCTCATTGAATGAATAAGATTTTGGTGGCACCAATACCATTTGGCTGCGGTGGAATAATGGCCATCCTTCTCCAGCACTGCTGCCCAGTTGGTATATAGATCCTTCAGAACAGGATCCTCAGGACGCAATCTAGCTTTGGCAATTACAATAGCTTCCCTAAGCAAATAAAAGAGAGGGGAAAATTAGAAATACTACACCACTTCAATGCATGCACTATCAATGCGCAGATATTTGTTGGAGAAGTTGATTAGCATTAAGCTACAAAAAAACCCCTTACAGATATGGAAGTTGAGAAAATGAATTTACAAAGCACATGATTTTGACACAGTTATTTACAATACTTCAAATGTACAAAAAGAGGATAAACCTCCAACCCACACCCATCACCAGGAGGGAAAAAAGATTATTCTCTGTGCTAAAACCCATTAAAACAAAAAGGTAGGCACTGACCTGAAAAAACTGTGTGATTTCAATAGCTCGACAGCTTCATACACTTTGTGGAGAGAGAGGAGATGGGAAGCAGCCTTCACGTACTGCTCTTGAAAACAAAGCTGCTTTACGAAGGCTTCTACTGTCCATGACCAGGTTTGATAACCAGCTAAACAGAAGTGAAAACATTAACAATAAATAACACATAAAAAAATTGAACAGTAACTGGAAAAGACTCCATGCACAAACAAACAGAAACCACTATCATCTTACAAGATAAAAGCAAAGCAAGAAAGCCCTTTAAAATCTTTACAGAAGCTCAAAAGACATCCATTTTACAAACTATTCCAGTGATTCAAACACTGAGCCAGAGGTTTGAAGCAATCCTGACTGAACCTATCCAGAAAGCTCTTGAGTAGCCAAGTTAATTAGGTCTGAGTTAAGCTTCTTTCACAGTGAAGCAGAACAGTTTCTGAATGTCAAACATACCCATTGGTGAGATGGCCACCAGCTGATCCGTCAATTCTCCCCTTTCAGCAGCTGACTGAAGCGCACCTTTCAGATCTCCTTTCCATAACATGAGCTGTTGAAACAACTCTGGGTGTCCATTTTCTAAATGACTTTTTCCTATATGGAAGCAAAATATGTTTCTGGTTTAATATTGCTTGCTTGCTTATAGCAATATAGTTCTATATGCTGCTGATCTTCTAAACACACAGCTAAGAACACAATGGCCAGAATCCAATGGCATAAGTCTCAGTGGTGACTTGTTACCAGCTCATATGGCTGGTGTGTGGTAAGATACAAGTACCAGCTTCTTAACTAGTGGCAATTCACCTGTGGAATTTACACCATTGAACCTACGCTAGTGGGCATAAATAATAAAATTCTGGCCAATATACAAACAACTAACTGTAAAGCAGTGACAACAACAGTGCTCAAAATGCAATAAAAGAGCAGTGATGAAATTTCCTAAGAACACAGTTCAACATTCTGTAAATGAAGTCTTCGTAGACTATCTCAAATTTTTATGGAACTCTTGACAATTTAGCTGAGACAGCCTCAGTGTCTAGATATTGCATCAATTTTCATACAAAGGAACAATGCCAAAAGCTGTAGTTAAGGCTCCAAAACTAACCTTCTGCTTCCAACATCTTATATAGAGCAGGCCTATCTGTGAAGAGCCCCAAATGGAAAGGATCCCTTAAAGATGATGTTGAATCTTCATTCAGATCTACCAGAAAGAAAGCAGCAAAGATTAGTCTTCTTCGTATCTCATAATTCTGATTCATACGATAGGAAAATCTTTGAATGTCTTTTCCATAATTCTTGCACTATTAAGAGTTTTTTAAAAACCTTACACAATTGCCTCTAAAATAATAATCTCTTGGGGAAAAACCAGTGCATTTAAGATCTTTATCCTGAGTGCTGCCTCTTAGATGGAAAATCTTACATACACGATTCCCACATTCAATCCATTTTCAAGTAGTTTTTCCATTCTGTCTCTGGAATGACAGTGCATTTTCACATATACTGTTTAACTCAAAACAGTAAAAATAATCAGTGAACAATGTGGACATGTCCTGTATTAAAATGCAAGGAACAGTTAGGCTTGAAGATAAAGAGGAACTTCCTGCTTTTACAGTAAGAACTTCTTACTTTTACTCCTTCTGTTACTTGCTCAAATAATAATGTCTGCAGTGCTTTCACTAGGTATGCCCTAATAACTTTTACTCCTTCTGTTACTTGCTCAAATGATGTCTGCAATGCTTTCACTAGGTATGCCCTAATGTCATGAGCACAGGGTAACAGGAAGAAAAAAAGGAGTGAGAGGGGAAACAAAAACTAAAGCTGTAGCTCAGTTGTGTCAGGAAACAAGGGACATACCTTTGATGCTACCATTGTGTTAAAAGAACAACTAAATGGGAAACAAGATCAGCCCCTTTGGACAAGTGCAACGGACAAATGATTCAGTCTCTCTCTGCTTCCTTTCCCCCCAGGTTCTAGCACTACACTGCTCTGAAGGTACACCGCACAAGCTTTCCTATGTTTATATCTCCAAAAAGGCAATGAAGCAGGAATCTTATGCAAAGAAGCCCTTAAAAAACCATGAACATCATCACAATACTTTTTCTCCTGCCACACAAGTGCTATGTAATTGCTTCAGAAAACCAGGGTAATATCATTTGGGATGGGGCGTGAGCATGACACTAATATGTTCAGGCTCAAACGCTTGGTGTCACAAATCAGGATGAGAAAGAAGGTCTACCAAGGCATTAAACTTTTGAAAGCCACACATTCTAAATGGACAAAAAGAAGAGTAGCTAGTAATAACAGAATGTTCTGCACTTACCTTTGGAATGTAAGAACCTAGCTATTCTCAAACAGTCCTGATGCTGCTCCTCTTTTGACCTGTGGTCCATCGATGTGCTGAGTGGTAGGATGGAGCGAGGTTTTTTCCTCTTCACAGAAGCATCTGACCCTATACAAAGAGTTGTCACAACTTCACCAAGTCATAAGATAATCTCCTATAAAAATGAATCTTCAAAACACAATGAAGATCCATATGATGGGGGGGGTACTGGGAAGGAGAAAATATTCCATCTGAATGTAGATACCACCACTTAAGTGTAGAAATATGAGAGCTTCTTACAACTGCTGAAATGTAAGAGTTGTTTATAAAACAAAAGAAAAGCATGTGCTCCTAGGAAAGAGGACTAAATGCTGTCCCAGTTGCTCCTGAGTCACTACTACTTCTAAAACTAATCTGTGTCAGTTCTTACAGACTTATTTGCTTTTCTTCATTCTAATTAATGCTGTTTTATTCTACTGTACTTATATTGGCATGATTAACTTGATTCAAACTTTTGTACATTACTGAATTTAGGGATTCTAAAAATGATTTTAGATACGTTTTTCATGGTTGTTTCTCATACTGTTAGGCATTAGATACTTTTTAATGTTTTATTCTTAAGGTGTCTTTGTGATTATTGTGTTGTTTTAATTAATTGTGAGACACCTTGCGTCCCCAGAAACAGAAAGGTGGCATATAAATAAAGTAAATTTAAAAAGAACCAAAATAAAACACATCTCAATTAAAGCAAAAGATAAAACACCATATTCTCACTCAATATGCTATACATAATAAAGACCAGATACCCACCTAGCTTTATCTGCTCTCTCCTTGTAACTGGAGTTTTGAGGATTACAGAAGGTTTTATGGTATCTGGCCCATAAGCAGGTGGTTGACATATAGCTGAATCTTTGTTAGCTACAGCGAAGAGATGAAATAGTTTTCATAATGTATAGCATAAATAGCCACATGTACACATGCCATAAACAATAAGTGAAAGACTTAACAAAAGCAGGACTTAGGTTTGTCTGCTATACTGGATCTTAAACACTGCAACAGCGCTGGCATTTAAAACTAAATTACAAATAGGTGGACTGTAAAAACGGAGAATAGGCCAATCCTCATTAACTCAACTAAACAGCAACCTAAATACATTATACATAATACAGAACACATGTCCACCAACATCTGGAAAAATCTTTGGAGAAACATTCTGCTCAGTAGTTCTCAACCTAGTAGCTCTCACAATATCTTTACACCAATAACATTACCAAAAACCTGGGTCCCATCATAATAGAGACAAAATAGCCACTTGTTCCAAGAATATAAACAAGCATTCTGCTATTATATTTATCATTTTCAGGATATTTTAAGGACTTTAAAGAAGTGTAATAGGTCATTCTATTTTCAGGATATTTTAAGGACTTTAAAGAAAAAGTGTAATAGGTAATTCTGTGCAGGAAAAGCATGACAATGACACTCAGTGATGAACAAGGACTGCAGGGGATGTGAAAAATAATTGTGCTAATAATGTGCTAACAGATCACAGGTGGGTAATCCAGGGCAGGTTGTGCTTCATACTTGCAGAACTACATGCAGACAGAGGGAGAGTGAGTTCTTAGTCGTCGTTATGCAAATCCTGTGTCCCATTAGTGGTATATACAACAGAAATGGAGGACCACTATTCCAGGTAAACACACAAATGCAAATGAATAAGCAAATGATATCGGAATACCTTCCACAGCTATTCCTTCAGCCATTTCCTGCTCTTCCTTTTCTCCCTCTTGGTCTGAAATCCCATCCTCCTCTAACAAAGTTTCTTTCACGTGGTCTCCACCATTTACCCAATCACTCACTTCCTGAGTTGGAGGCAACTTCCCTGGTGGTTTCTTCTTCTTTTTGGCTTTTACTTTGAGTTGAGTGCTTCTCTTTTTCTCCAATTCAATGCTCTTCTTACCTAGTAAACAACAAAGAGATTCTGAAAATAGTTGCTCATTTTCAAACAAACATTCTGGGATTATCAACATGCACCCCTTATTTGAAAGGCTTATGAAGCATCAGTAAAGTCAGGAGTGCCACAAATCTATTACAAGGACGGGGCATGCTTATAATTAATTTTTTGGTTTCCCAAAGAGAAATGGGATGGAAATATGCTGCACTTGATCTTTGAACTCTGCCTACAATCCAAAGGAAGATGCAAATCATGAAAACTTTTTTTCGTTACTCTTGCAAGAGTTCTCCATTGTTTGGGCAACCTAGTGATATCTGCTAGAATTGTCTGTGAAAACAAGGAACTAAATTAGGGAGAAGCATCACCACATATTGCAACTCTTTCCCCAGCATCTTGATATCAAAGGATAAGGAATATACCAACCTTGGGGAGGGCGGCTGTGCTCTTGCTTTGTGGGTTTCCATTTATGAACACAAAAGTCATCAGCTCCAGTATAAACGGAGTCCGCCTCCACCGGTGACCACTGCACACAGAGCAGCCGGCCCCGGTGCCCTCTGTAATTGTGCAAAGGCTCTTCCTTTAGAACATCCCAAACCTGTAAACAAAACCTCTCATTTAAAAAGGGAATTCACATTCTACAAGATTTCCTCACCAAAATCAACTCTAGAAGACTGTAGAGTAGTGGCCTGAAGAGGGAAGGCATTCTGGACTACAGTATATCCAGTGGTGGTCCAAACTCTCCTACTACCTCGGGCAGGAGAAGGTGCCTCCATCTTTGCTGCTCCCTGTAGTCCTCATCACTACCTCCTTGCTGCCACTGCCTACGCTGGGGTAGCTCTCTATTGAGTTGTTCTCACCAAAATTGGCTGTTGAAACCATCTCCCTCAACACTCTATGCATAAAGTATGGCTCTGTGAAAGCACTTCTCCGAAGACAGGAATTTGGAAAAAGACCCTCTGGAGGTACACTGTTTGGAAGAAGAAGCTGCCTCAGAGGTGGGTCAGTGCTGACTACAATTCCAATAATCCCTAACTACTGGCCACAATCACTGCAGCTGATGGGAGTAGTGGTCAGAAACATGTGGAAGTGTCTATACTCTGGGTGTACAACACCCAGTTGCATCTTCCCGTGTATACCCTTAATTCCTAATATCAAGACATCAATCTCCCCAAATGGTAGAAGCAAGACCAATACATATTGGTCAAATACCCCAGAAACTGAAATCAAATTGACTTGATTTCAGGTTGTACTTTAGGGCACAGTTAACAATGGATAAGCAAAGCCAACCTAAAACATTAGTCTCTAATCTATATAGGTTTCTGCATATCTGGACCCCAGTTTTTAATTTGATCCCAGTAGTAAACATTTGAAATGTTCCCAAGATGTGTTGTTGTCCAGTTTTTAGGACACTACTCCACCCTAACTGCAAACACTGCATAGTTGCATAATATTGCTACTTTCTTCAACAAAAGCAAAAGCTAAGTGTAACTTTTGCAGCACCCACATACAGAAATTTACAAATGTAGCTTCCTCTACACACCAAACAAGGCACACAAATACATGTATACTGCACTTGAAAGCACATAGTGCAAGCAGCAAGCTTTCAAAGCACTATGACATGTGGTTCAGACAAACGAACAAACAAGACACATTCCCAAACCCCACATCTGTGTGATTAGTCAGGAAAGTGGGAAAAGACCCTGAATGAGGAACTACAGCTGTTTTACGACCATACCTGGGCACTGCCATCATAGCAAACAGATACCAGTCTTCCATCATGATGTGGGCTCCAGGATATGCTAGTGATCTTAGCTGTGTGCCCAGCCAAGGTACGAAAGGGCTCAGTTATTGTCACAGGCTTCTCTGGAGAACTCTCTGAAGATGGATCACGATATTAGAGTCAACCAGATAAAATGTCACCAAATGACTCTCACAGAAAAATACTTATATGGTGGAGCACCATAGTTAACTTGGGTTCTACTGAAATTTGGATGCCCACACAGGATCAAAAGGCTCATACACAAGACTGTGCAAACAGAATGCTTCTGTCACAATGATCAGTACTAGATTCCTCACATGCAGCTTCTGACTTGCTTACTTTTCTGAGGATGCTCTAAGACATAGCCAAGTCTTCTGCAACAGTTACTATAACACACATTGGTGCTAGACTTATCAAGAGGTAAGTCCACATTTATGTCAAACCCCTATTGGGCACTATATTGCAACACATGGGAAGAGGAGCATATTGCCACAATTCACAGTGAATAGGTTAATAAACTCCTTTTATCTCATTCACCATCACACAGCCAGCACAGCTAGTGATTAGGGATAATGCCAGTTGCATTCAACTAGGAAGTCGATACATCCACCATCCATGAACTATCAGGATCCAAGTTTACAACTCAGTATACATAAACAACCACAAATCAAGATTTTGATCTGCTATAATAAATTGTAAAATCTATTTTGTTTACTTGTAATATTGCTCCTTTGCTGCACATACATGAGTTAATATACTATTAGAGTGTTACCAAATCAGTTCTATTGTTCCTTTCTTATGCATATGATAATTTACTGTAGTCCATGAACTTCTCTATTTTCCATCAGCACGAAACTTCAAGAAATTAGATTCACAGAAACAGGAGCTAAACAGGTAAGGTTTCTCAACCATTTATCTTGATATTTTTAAAACAGTAAGCCTGGGCCAGGCAGAGTAGGCTATAAATAAATAAGGACTCAGATGGGGGAGAAGGAAAGGTTCTACAACATTTCAAGTCATGGAGAAGACTGCATGCCAAGAAAAAGGGAGAAGCAGCTTTACCAAAGCATAAACATTAATTACCTAGGATGCTCTTGAGATTATGCACATAAATGACAGCATTGTTTGAGCCAGAAGCTATCATGTAACTCAGTTCTGGCTGCGTCCCATGGTCATGATGCCAGCGAATAGCATTGATGAGTTTGTGGTGCTGCTGGATGGTGCACATTAGTTTCAAGTCCGGAGCCCGAAATATTTCAATTGATCTGAAATGTTAACAAGCGTGGGAAACTATTGTTAATAGTGCATATCATGTAGCATCTGCCATCTATCATTGGGTTCAATACTTACAACTTTTATGAATAGTTAAGACACATGCAGTCTAAATGACACCGCAAGGTGTTGTTAATCTAAACCACAAATGGATGCTTCTGAACCCCTTGTGGAGACTGCAGAACATACAATTCTGAGACTACTGTGACTCGCTCTTCCCATATTAGACTATGACTTAGAGGGACAGTCAAACACTTGGGTGTCCCAAGCCCCATGTCCCATTGACTTTGCAGAAAAAAATTGCTCAGATCTGGTCTGACATGGATGCTGTAGTTGTTTCAAGTCCTGCGAATGCAACTGTGGCCCCTAGTTGCCTTGTGTTAATGGATGAGTTTCAGTTTCTGCAGCCTGATGATGTGGTCAGGACCCTTGGGAAGGTGAAGACTACCACATGCCTGCTGAATCCTTGCCCTTCCGGAGTCGTAAAAGCTGCCAGAAAGAGACTGGTCGATTGGGGAAAAGGAGTGGTGAACGCCTCCTTGCAACAAGGTAGGATTCCCCGAATGCTTAAAGAAGGCAATAGTAAGTGTTGTTTAAAAAGCCCTTTTTGGACCCCACAATACTGAATAATTACTAACCAGTATCTATATCCCATTCCTGGGGAAGGTGCTAGAGCAGGTTGTGGCCTCTCAGCAACCAGAGGTTCTTGGATGAGACAGATTATTTAGATCCATTTCAATCTGACTTCAGGCCTGGTTATGAGACAGAGACAACTTTGGCTGCCTTGGTAGATGACCTACACCAGGAATTAGATAAGAGATTTGTGCCCCTCTTGGTTTTGCTGGACCTCACATATTATCCTCCTGTCCTGATTCTCTGGAATGAGCCTTGGTGACACAGTTTTACAGTGGCTCCAGTCCTTCCTGGAGGAGACAACTCAGAAGGTGGTGCTGAGGGAATTCCTGTTTGACACCCTGGCCGCTGACCTGCAGGGACCCCTGAGGTTTTGTTTTGTCTCCTCTGTTATTTAACATCTACATGAAGCAACTAGGAGACATCATCCAGAGCTTTGGGATTTGCTATCATCAATATGTGGATGACACCCAACTCTGCCTCTCCTTGCCACCTAAATCCAAGGAAGCAGCTCCAGCTCTAGATCACTGTCTGGTATCAGTAATGGACTGGATGAGGGTCAATAAAGTGAAACTTAATTTAGACAAGACAGAGGTGCTTCTGGTCAGTTGAAACAGATCAAGGAATAGGGATGAATGGTTGTTGTAGGTTTTTCGGGCTCTCTGGCCATGTTCTGAAGGTTGTTCTTCCTAACGTTTTGTCAGTCTCTGTTGGAGGCAGCGTATCGAGTGTATAA